TTATTAAACAAAATGGCTAGGAAAAAAATCCCAGTTTGCAAAATAAAAGAAAAAATTAAAAAGTGCTGAATCTTATTGATATCGGACTGTAAAATTATTTTAGTTTGCTTTGATAGATATTGATTAAATGTCAGATTTTCAAATCCACTGACAAWATAAATCAATGCTGATTTATATTGTCACCTGAAACATTTGTTATGCAGTGTATTAAAGCAGTGTTTGAGAAATGTTTGCATCACATTCGATGTTGACAACTTGATTATTGCTTTGATGACTAAAATTAGGAATATGGCTTCAAATATAGTAATACCTAAAATGATTTTGGATTGGTATCTGAYGCAATTCACAATGGCCAAACTGGATTTTATTTCAAAGTAAAGATTCTGGAGATGTTTCAGATGTTTGAATAAAATAATGTGTGACAAAAAAAGAAAGCTAAAAAAAGTTTCTAGTTTCTTTGCTGATGTTCTGTGTTGTTTAGCAAAAATACCAAAAACATAATGCATTTCTTACAATCCACTAAAGCCATAAGCAGACATTTTCTTGGAGTTTTATCTTTGCTGTGAGGTTTCTAGRCAGCCAGATGAGATGCCAGGAAGTCAGAGCTTTAAGCCAAGAAACAGTCCATCATCCCWCCCTCTCTAAGGCCTCTCTGAAAGAGAAAACATGTTCAATAATTTATCAAGAGAACTACAGAAAAGTCTRGTCACCTTAATAGCTCTTTTTTGTTTTTCACTATGAGAGTATGAAGTCATTTTAGGAACACTTCTTTAGCATTGTGTCCTCACATCTATGGTAACACAAGTGTAGGTGGAATGGTGAGTATATGTTAGTCTTGTTTTCTGAAGCCGTCTCTGTTACCTGTGAGGAAACAGGCCCTCCTATTGGGTCCCATCACATTTCAGTCATTGCATTCAGAAATTAGACTAATCCCACATCCCAATCCCCACCCCTTATTATCTCCAACCACCCTCCCACCCATCTATTAATTATTTTCACCTGAATTACATTCATTCCATCTTTTTCCTTTTAATCCACCTCCAATTAAATCATTTCCCCTCCTCCTCATCCTCCCTTTTCCACCTCACAAATCAAACACTCCTCGTGGTGCTTCTCTTCCCTTTGTGAATCCCCCCCCCAAAAAAATCTTTTCATTCCATCCCCCTCCAACCTCCTTCACTTTGATCAAATCTCCATTCCTCCCTACTTTGACATCCTTCCTCCTTGACTGTCCCACCAACCCCTCCCCCCTCTCCATCCTCCCCTCCATGTTTTCCCGTCGTTGCGGTGATGAAGCTGACAAGCAGCAGGGAGGCTCCACCGGCGTGGTGATAGCCGTGGTGGTGTGTGTTCTGCTGCTCCTGATGCTGGTGGCCCTCATCTATTTTCTGAGTAAGAAAACCAAGCTACCCTGCAGCAAGAAGGACCAGAAGGAAGTGTRAGTAAAAGGGAAGGAGGAGTTAAATGAACAAAATGACAAAAGCACTTATCTGATGTGTTTTTCTTTTCCAGACACAAAGGAGAGGTGAACAATGAAATYGTGGTGGAGATGAAGACAGAAAAGCCCAATGAGCAGGACGGACTTCTTAAGAACCCATCCAAAGACCAGGTTAGAACTAGAAGAGGTCAAGGGTCATTGTTCCAAATATATTTTAATGTTGAAATAGCCTGGTAAAAACTCGACCCTTGTTAYTCAGTTTGGCCATGATGTAAGTGCGCCAGCTTAATCGTGAAGWAAGCTAAGCTAAGAAGCTAATTGCAAACCGCCATAAACAATCATCTTCTACTGGAAAGACAAAAGTACCAAGCCCAAAAGGATGGCTGTAAATGAGTGCTGAAGGCTTTGTGAGACAAATTGATTTTAATTGGAAAGCCCAGATGGAGCAGTGAAGGGAAGCGAGAATTAAGTGGAACTGTGCAGGAAGGCCAGGACCGGGCTAATGGTGAGCTGAAGTTCATCTGGTAATCAATAAGGGTAAATTTCCTAATTTAAAGAGTCTAAAACTGGATTTGTGCATTCTGCGTTTAGAAATTCTTGTCCAAGTCCAGAAAAACTCAGTCTGACCGTTGGTCTGCAGTTGTAGTTTAAAGACAGCAGGTTAAAGAATTTGGTCTCCTCAGCTGAAATGAGTTTTTTTTTTTCATCTGACAGATGGAAGGAACAGAAATATGAAACACTTCACCATTAATTTTACTGTAATGACATCTGCTGTATTTAAGTTGGGTTTAAAAATAAGTTTCAATGTGGTTCTCGTTTTGTGTGAATCACTGACAGGAAGCTGAATGACATTTCAGGAAATTTAAGGAGATTGTCCACACTTCTTACTTTGCTTTTAAAGTAAAAGTCGTCCTCTCCAAATTCTATAAAGTGCAACTTTGCTGGTAATCATAAACTGTCCTCCGAAGGCAACAGCATGTTGCATGTTTAAAATGAGAATTTGTTAAATGTTTTGACTTTTTTTTCTTGTCTTTGATGGCGACACCATGATTCAGTAGAGTTGCCTTGGGGAAATGAATCATTGAATCATTTAGCAGCTGCTTTTTGTCCAAAGCAACTCAGAAGTGAGAAACAGAACTCATGCTTCAGGGCAGTAAAACAAACATTGCACCGCAGTGGAGCAGTACCTTGTAGTGTAAATGATGAAAATGCATATCAGCTGCTGGACTGCTCTCTACTGCTTCACTCCATTGAGGTTTATTCAGTGGTCAGTTGTTGTAACTGCAAGAGAATTTTCTCTGAATTCAAGATGGCTGACAGACAGCCACACCTGTTGATTCCTACAGCTTTATCCACTCAGTCCTTCTATTCCAGAAAAAAAAAACAGTTAAAAATATGATGATAAACAGAAACATCTAAGGTGCCATATTCTTTTATTTTGCAATTAATTATGTGTCTACAGAAATGGGCAGATGGTGCATACTTTATGTTCCAGTTCACCAAATATTGTTAGCAAGAGACAAATCTGGACCTTAAGAGGACCAGTACCTAAAGAACCACACTGCTGTAAAATGCATGATTGTGTTTTGTGGTTTAAACAAGGTTTCTTGTGAGATTCCCACACTTTACTGAGCAAAGTCATCCAAAAATGAAGTAAATGTGAATGTTAATGGTACCTCAGTTTGCTTTCAACTTTGTGTGAACCATAAATAAAAAAAAGAAAAGGTTTCATTTTTAAAGAAAAAACTGAGAAGTGACACAGTTGTCTTACTGGTTTATTGTAGGTCATTTTTATTCCTTGAAATAAAAGCTTCATCTTACTGTAATAACGTTTGTGTGTCCTTGTGTCTTTTCTCAGTGATGAAACCGGATGATGAAAATAACTCAGAGGGATGAAGGGAAGAGGATGACAGTTATGAAGACAAGAGGGCTTTTTTATTTTTACACAAGACTGAAGGGGGCAATAAGTGGTGGTGTTGGGGAGTGGGTTTCTATCGGTGACTTTTAAAATACACTTTGCTTTGTTACACTTGTTTTGGAAACTGGATTTGACAAACTGGGTGTGTTGTTTTTTATTATTATTTTTTATTAAATAATGCTTTTGCAGAACTTCATCCAGCTTGTGTTAGCACAGGTTTAAAATGTAAAATGCAGCATCACTGGATAAAATAATCAATTTTCTTTCTTTTTTTTATCAGTCACATATTTGGTAGACTCCTTTGCAGAATGGATCCATAAATATCCACAAAAAACTAACACTGTCTGGATTTGTATCCAATGCAAAAATAACCACTGATTTTTTTCTTTAGTTTTTGAGAGTTTCTGTTTTGGAGTCTACTCAAATTTCTTTTACTGCTGGTGATTTTTGGGAAACCAATATTTCAGGCTATATTTATTTCACCTCAAAAGTAAAAAAAATTGCTTACTAAATGTAATCACACACGCTCACTGTTTGGCTGTAAATTTTTTGCTCTACAATCTCTATCGCTGTTCATTTTTTTGTGTTTTTAATTTCCATGATTAGTTTGCAGCGAAATCAAAGCAGGTATTTCAAATCAGCTTTTCTGTCTTTAGAATCACTTGCTTTTATAAAATTCAGTTCAAAAGCCACCAAATTAGAAAACGTTTAAGTTGTACAAATTTGTTTATGCCATTTCTACTACAAATGTATTCTATGTTTTTGCTCTTCTGTTTTATATGTAAATTCAGTGACTGTTTTTTTTTTTTTTTTTTGTGAAGCTAGAGGAGCTCTGTGATTGTGTGTATAAAGCTGCTGGCTTTCGTTTCTTACAGCTTTATAGTTTCCATTCTGGGCWGAAACCTGGGATAAGACTGAAAAGTAACAAAAGCAGGTTCAAATCACCAGTTTTTGCTCTACAAAAAAGATATTTGGGGAGAGTTTCGACACACACTCTTCTTTGTTGGTGTTTTCCAACAAAATGTGACTTTCGAGGTCTGTAAGGTTGTGGTGACAGATTCACCAGTTAGAAATAAATACAAGCAGAGGTTCACTCTAGGAAACAGGAAATGAAAAGTGGGAGATGCTGCAGGAGTATGTAAGGTACATTTGTACTTTTTTCCTTCTCCTCAAATGAAATATTTTGATTGTCTTTCTCTGTGGTTAGGCATGTAATTCATGTTTTTTTTCTTTCTTTTTTTTTTTTACATTTTCTTTCCTGCACTGTCAGCAGGGTAAAAACAGGTTTGCAGGTCGTCGTATTTTGTTGAACACTGGAACCAATGACCTTAATGTCTTTATTTAAAAAAGTCACCTCGATCCACTTTCTGCAGCTGCAAGACTTGTATGTTTTGAACGTTTGTCTGCTGAACTTGCTGTAAACATTGCTGATTGTTAGCAGACCAGTGACAGGTGAAGATCAGTGATTAAACTTTGAAAACTTTTCTTATTTTTCTGTGTTTGCATTAGAATGCTGTGGTGTCAAAACAGGCTTTTCTAAAGGGGATTCACAATTTTAGAGCTACTGAGTTTTATTTTTCCACGCTCCACAATCTCCATTCACTAAGAAAATACATTTTTTATATTCAGTTAGATTTTTTATAAGACATTCAGTGCTTTACATTTTTATTGTATGCTGTATATTTTTGCGCTACACTGTTTGTGATCTATGTGGTGTGTTGATGTATCTTTTTTTCCTTCTTCCAACTGTGTAGACTTTATAATGAAAAACCTCAAGAAAGTCTATTCTCACCCCATTGCTTTGTGTTTTTATTTCTCTTTCTATCGGTCAGCTTTTCAAAGCTCTTGTCTTGGAATTGGATTGATTCCAGTTGGTGTTTTCTCATTATAACAACAAAAACTACAAAAAAAGTGTTAAAATTCACTAAATGTGAGCTGAAACCCACATCCCTGTCATCTCTAAAGTGTCCTCTCATGCCAGAAATCTAATTGCTTTTGATGCAAATCATCTGAGTGAGTTTTCTTTCTTTTACTAGATGATATCTAAATTGATTTCCATCATGCACCAAATTTTAATATCCTTGATTTAACAACATTATGCAAATTTCACCCACTTTGACTCATCTTGTGATTTGTTCTGGCAGAATGACTAAATGGAAACGAAGCCCACATTTCTGCATCAGAGATGTATTTATGGATTTTCTCACAGCTGATTTTATGATGCGGGGTTCTGTCATCTTGCTGTTATTTTGGAAAATTAGTTCCATCAATCATCAGCAAATTGCTCTGTTGCTTTGTGCACAGATCAGTAAGAGTTTGCAGGATGATTCTTGATGATCACATCTTTCTGTCAGAACCGGAGGGTAATTATCAGGCAAGATGAACGAAATCCCTTCAGTTTCTGAACTGGTGCATCATTCTCCTGCTGCAACATTACGTAACAGCATGATCTAACCTTGCACCATAGCTTGGAAGGTTACACCAACACCATATGCAGCCTCCTTTGGTTACAGGCGGCACGTCTCCTTCGCTGCTGGTTTTCCATTAGCAAATGAAAAGTCTCCCTTTGAAATGGCCCGGTCAAATCGATCTGTGCTGCGAATATAAAGCAGTGAAGATGGAAGTGAGTTGCGTTAAAGTGGGTGGCTACAAGGCGTGTACTGAAAAGTGACTGTGTCATGTCCTGCTGATGTAACATTGGTGAGGTTAAATGCTGCAGCTTTAGGGGTTTCTCTCTGTAATATTGGAAAAGGAGATTATTTTGAATCTCTTGAAACTTTTTATTTGGTTTACATTTTCAAAGTCCCCAGTTTATTTGAATTTAAATAGACATAAGAAAACAACACATTTTTCAAATATTTAAATGGAAATAGAATCAAATAAAATTTAACAATGTAAATGCAAGAGAATTTAAAAGAGACATATTATGCTTTATAAAGTGGAACTGCAATGCTTTGGTCTGAATTCCTCATTGCAGCTCCAAGCCCCTTTTTCACCCCATTTCTGAGGTGTGTCTCAGGTCAACTCATTTTGATGCTGTTCCTTTAAATGCAAATGAGCCGCTTCACATCCTGCCCCCTCCAGCTTCCAGAGCAGTCCATTCTAGTTTGATAGAGGGGTTGGCAGCACAGAAATGTTTTCTTTACAAATTACCTAAAAGATGTCATCCAGCCTTACATGTTGAAGCCAGAGTTTGACCCAGAGCCAGAGGAGAATGAAAACCACCTAATTATAGTTGGTAAGTTCAAACCATATTTGGCAATTTCATCGGAAATACTGTCACATAATAGTTTAGAAAACATCATAGAAAATAGAGAAAACTAAATGAGCTGAAAAATATGACTTAAACATTATGTAAATATATCGTAGCATTAACAGGAGAAACCAAATTTAAAATTTTCTGTCGTTAGAGACACTTAAGTACACAACAAAATGCAATTAATGGATAAAAATTGGATTTTGCATGACATGTCTCCTTTATTATCCTTATTGGGATATATATACAGTATATGTAATTGTTTTAAGACTGCAGAAATCTAGTTTGGTCTGAGCGTCTTTCAACTGTTAGCTCATCTGTCTGGTCAGGATCAAACTGAGACCTGAGACACACCTCAGAAATGGGGTGAAAAGGGGGCTTGGAGATGCAATATGGAGGAATTCAGACCAAACTTTCACCAAACTGCTGTCCTTCAATTCAATTCAATTCAATTCAATTCAAAAATACTTTATTGATCCCAGAGGGAAATTAGGTAAAAGGAGCTATCTACAACAGGTAAGATATGTTCATAACTTTTTTCCCACAAAACCACACTTTAAAAGATCAAAACAGTTTCTCTAAGGGTTGGTAATATGATTGAATGATTGTTTTAAAAGTTACCATAACCCAGGCTTCATTTGTTTGATAAAATATATGAATGTTTGTGTGTTTCTCTCTATGAGTGAGAGATCTCCTTATGCTTTGTTTAACAAAGACTGAAAGGTTCAGCGCATTTCAGTTTGACTAACAATGAAAAGGATTACTGTCATTCTTCTTAAAAGTTCTTTCCTCTTTCTCTCCTCCTCATCCTCTTCTCTCCCCACTGCGAGTCTTCCTGCTCCCTGCACTGGGTTTAGTTACAGTTGCTTTAAACTGATTTAACCACTTTGTGTCAACCTACTGAAGAATGACAGTCTCTGTTTGTCCCTTCTTCCTCCTGCATCTGATGGTCACTCAGTAGCTCTTGGCTCAGCCTCAGCTCAGTATACACACACACACACACACACACACACACACAC